AACACAGTAAAGGAGGAGACTATAGTTAAAAGATAAAAAAAAAAACTACCACAACAAGAGGGCATTAGAGGGGCAAAGGTTTAAAAATAATATCCGGAAGTATTACTTTACTGAGAGGGTAGTGGATGCATGGAATAGCCTTCCAGCTGAAATAGTAGAGGTTAACACAGTAAAGGAGTATAGCTATAAGATAAGGCCAGGGACTAATGAAAGTATTTAGAAAATTGGGCAGACTAGATGGGCCGAATGGTTCTTATCTGCCGTCACATTCTATGTTTCTATGTCCCCACCGCACCCTCTGTATTGTAATAAGTTTGTTAAAACCTGCTCTAACTCATGAATTAGTTTACCAAACTGGGTTTGGCTATAGTAAACTCAACTTTTATTGTTCACACTTTCTAAATAAATGTTAGATCATATTAAAATTATTAAGAAAAATAATAATAATCGCAAAAATGGGCAGTGTGCTGCAAAAAAATTATCTTCCCGCTATTTGGTTTAAAGATCAACTGAGAAAAACTAACCAATAGTGGGAAAACCAGGATAACTATTAAAACAAACAATCTACATTATATATAATGTATTTATTAAATATACAATACATAAATATATATATATATATATTATTACTGTACCTCCAGGTTTTCTGTCTATCGCTCAGTTCTCACTTGAACTGGGAATAAAATGAATATCACACAGTTTTGTAGATATGTTAGATTTTTTTACGTTTAATAGAGAGCATTCTACTAATAGATAACTGCCTGTAACATTGATAAGAATTGATGTTATTATGTAGTGCTGTTTGTAGTTGAATATAATCGATTATTCGTTTCCCCCCATACTGTTAATCAGATTCCTGGAAGCTGTAATCTCATGCTGTACAGAGTGCCAAAAAAAGTATTATTTCTAAATCACTTATATTGTTTTTAATTACAAAACAATTTTAATCCCCATCCATTATTTTTCAGTAATTACCATTGTAATTCTATTCATTTCATTCTTCACAGATGACTGCCTGTTTGACAGTTGCCATAGCAACACCATAGCCTTTTCAGAACCTCGTGTTTTAGTGCGTTAGAGATATATCATTGAACTTGTGCACAGTGATACAACACTTAGCAATGAAACAATGAAATGTTTCTAATAACATTCCCTGACAACAGTGCCCAAAGAGAACAAAAAAACGAAAGAAATGCATCATTATAAACTGAGTTACATAACTGAAAATGGGGGTCGCAGTGAGAGAAACTGAGCATTAATCAGTTTAAAAACTCTCAAATTCATGCAGTACTAAAAATAATTGCTAACAAATTTTAATAAGAAAAAACATGTGTGTCTTTAGAAAACTGAATTACCTAGGTCTTCCTAAAGGGACACTATAAGCACCAACACAACCTTAGTTTATTTAAGAAGATGTATAGATCGTGCCCCTGCAGTCTCACTGCTCAATTCTCTGCCATTTAAAAGTTAGATCACTTTGTTTTTGCAGCCCTAGTCATACCTCCCTGCATGTGATGTACACAGCCTTCCAAAACACTTCCTGTAAAGAGTCATCTAATGTTTACACTATCTTTATTGCACAGTCTGTTTAATTTAATTTAAAGAGCCTACATTAGCCTGTTGTGTTTGCATAGAGTTCGATTAACGAAAAAGGCAGCAGAAGTAGAACACAGTGTGCTGTCACATCTGATTGAAAATTAAACCATTGGTTTTCCATGCAGGCTGTGTGAGTCACAGCCAGGGGAGATGTGACTAGGGCTGAATAAAGAGAAACAAAAGTGGTTAACTCTGAAATGGCAGAGTTTGCAGAGAAAGTGCAGAAGGTCTTGATGGTAAGGTATGTCTTTTTGCAGATGATACTATGATATGTAACAGGGCTGATATTCCAGGAGGGATAAGCCAAATGGCAAATGATTTAGGTAAACTAGAAAAATGGTCAGAGTTGTGGAAACTGACATTTAATGTGGATAAGTGCAAGATAATGCATCTTGGATGTAAAAACCCAAGGGCAGAGTACAGAATATATGATAGAGTCCTAACCCCAACATCTGAGGAAAGGGATTTAGGGGTAATTATGTCCTCCCCCCAACCCCCACCCTGAGCGGTGGGTGGGGTCCTACATAACAATGAGGAGGGGGACCTACTGTCCTCTCCCTGCCCTAAATGAAATCCCCCCCTTCCAAGGTGACTAGGGGTCCCCAAGCCCCTAGTCAGCCCCCCCCCCACCCAAATAAAAGTTATCCCCTACCTACCCCCCTCACCCTAAAAATAGTGAGGGGGGAATAAAATAACTAACCAGCCCCCAAAAAGGCCAAGTAAAAACCATAATACCCGTCAAATTAAAATAAAAAATCCGAGCACAAAAAAAAACAGACGAAAAAGGAAAAAACAGACGCAAAAAAAAATAATCCATCTTCACCCCTGAAGGGCTCCGCGCAGATTGAGCTCTGCAGGGCAGGGGAAGGCTTATAAACCCTTGCCCCGCCCTGCAATTAGGCTAAAAATACTCTGGTTGGTTTAAGCAAATCAGAGTGCTCTTTGCCATTTTTCACAGGTGGGAAAGTTCTTTGTAATTTTCCCACGCTGTGTAATTTGACTCATAACACTCTGATTGGTGGACTTGGAATCTAACCAATCTGAGTGCTCTGTGTCATTTTACACAGCGTGGGAAAGTTCTTTGGAACTTTATGTAGGGCCTCCACCCGTCACGTAGGGGTAGGACCTGCCGGGGAGGACAGTAGGTTCCCCCCCCTCAATCTTATTTAGGGCCCTCACCCACCACTCAGGGGTGGGGTTTGGGGTGGAGGACAGTAGGTCCTCCCCTCATTGTTATGTAGGGCCTCCACCCATCGCACAGGGGTGGGGGCCAGGGGGAGTACAGTAGGTCCCACCCCCCTCATTGTTATTTAGGGCCCCCACCAGCCGCTCAGGGGTGGGGGCCATAGGGGAGGACAATAGGTGTGTCCCCCCTTAATTCAGGGATGGGGGCCAATAGGTTTTTTTTTATTTCATTTTTTTTTACTAGACATGCCCCTACTCGGGGTATAGCGAGTAGGGGCTGAATTTACTAATACTAAGTAATCTTTACTTAGTATTAGTAAATGTGGCTGAAAGACCAATTTATGTCTTTCAGCCTTTTGGTAGATAGCTCCCTAATACCGTGGGAATTAGGGAGTTATCTACTAAGTGGCTGCAAGATGCAGCCGCCGCAATGGATAGGATCGCTGTTTCATTCATTCGAATGAAATTGCTATACGAACAAAGTCCCGAATTGTGTTCTAACACAAATGGAGAAATTGTTCTCATTCTGTTAGGACGCATTTCGTCAGTTTTGCCGGCGATCTGTCTAAGTAACAGGACGTTCGGCAATACTGACAGGAGGCATCGTGGGAACAGGGAGGAAAGCTATTTGCACTTTACTGCATTGACTATTAAAGGGACGCTCACACTGTTTGTCGTTGCATTTTATTCTTAACCAGTCATTGTCTTTGGGCCCCAGGCCAGCTCGGGGCCCCAAGCAATTGCTTGGTTTGCTTGCCTTGTCTCGATGGGCCTGCAGACGAGTCAAACACTTGTTGATTGGCTGCCCTGCAGCTTTTCAAAATGCGCCATTAAATCGCCAAACACCGAACTCGAACCCGAACTGTTACTGAAATGTCCGGGTTTGGGGTCAAAAAATCTTAATGTTCGGTACGAACCCGAACTCTAGAGGAGACTATATTTAAAAGAAGAAAAACTACCACAACAAGAGGACGTAGTTTTAAATTAGAGGGGCAAAGGTTTAAAAACAATACCAGGAAAATTACTCTACTGAGAGGGTAGTGGATGCATGGAATAGCCTTCCAGCTGAAGTGGTAGAGGTTAACACAGTAAAGGAGTTTAAGCATGCGTGGGATAGGCAAAAGGCTATCCTAGCTATAAGATAAGGCCAGGGACTAATGAAAGTATTTAGAAAATTGGGCAGACTAGATGGGCCAAATGGTTCTTATCTGCCGTCACATTCTATGTTTCTATGTTTCTATGTTTAGAATTCAGTAGTGCAACTGCAGGGGCAGGAACGATACACCAACATTGCTTCATTAAACTAACGTTGTTTTTGTGCATAGAGTATTCCTGTAATATTGACTATTAAATAAAAAACATGTTTGCTGTTTTAAATATTTAAAAATGGAAATTGTTGTTAAATCTGAAATTTTAAATTAATCAAGAACTTATTTTGCATTTATGCATATTAAAATATCTTCAAAAAAAGAGATTCACTTGATTATGTCTAAATTAAGAGAGTATGGGAATTTCCAAAGCCTGTACTTGTCAGCAATACTGTGTAGCCTATATAATATTTTCCTAAGGTGCCAAAGATTTTTATACTGATAAAAAGGAAGTCTATGATCCCAAAGACCTAAACTACCCTGTTTAGTCTTAAACTGATCACTAAGTCCTCAGTATGTCATCTGTGACCTTTGTTTATGATTCCACGCACTTTGTACTGATCTTTATCTGTTCCCTAGTGTATTACTGAATGTAGCGGAGTAGTAGTATTTTCCACGGTATCTACGCTGGCAGACATAATAAAGCAGGTACAAAGTAGACAAAATCCAGGTAGCGTAGTTACAATCCCTTTCTCCCAAGAACTAGACGACACATAGCTTGGAGGTCAACTGAGGTTTTAATCACAGGTCACAGTATTTATGTGGTTACAAATGTAAGGGGTTTCCCAAGTCACATTACAGGGTTTGTCCAGTAGGGGACTACATTGGGGACTGAGTTTACAGACAGATTACCCATCATACACTGCTGTACCAAGGAGACAATTACCCCAGAATGCATTGTTAATGGGATTATCTCTTGGTACAGAAAAATACAGTTTTTACATTAAAATCCATAACTGACATAATATTCCTACTATGCAGCTAATAAACCCCTTATTACATAGCTGGGACCTGAGCGCAAAGAACCAAACGCCGTTCATTTTACATGACCAGGACCACTTGGTTTAAAACGGTTGTATTAGCTGAGGGAATGAGATTCCCGAAAGAATAAAACTCCCGAACAGCTTGGAAGTCCAGCAAGGCTTGTGTTGCGGAGTAGCCTAATTTAGTTCCAGGCACTCGACGACAAAACCCTGCTGGCTCTCTGAGAACAAAGATGGCCGCCGCCACGTGTTCGGTACACGAATGGCGGCCACCCGCAACATACATTAATTAGCATGGATACAATGTTGCAAAGTACCCAATTGGAGACACACGACCTGCTGGGGGTGGTCTCCCATTCGGTACTTTGTGTGTTCCACGAACAGTGTGGTGATTCATTGTTCGTGGATAACCAAGCTGAATACTAGCGGTATTCGTGTGCTGACACACACAAATGCTTCATACATTGATCTTTTATTCAGGGAAACAAACAATACGGGCAATAGCATAAAATATACAGTTTCACTCAGTAAGTGGCTAGATTTGCCACACTGAACATTATATTAACCCCTGCTTGTGCCTTAGATTGTTAGATTATTTATCATTTTAATGTTACAGTATATATCTGGTGACAGCTGTCAGATTTTAAGACGCTAATAACTAGGCACTCCTGATGCACATCTGATGTGAAAGATCCAGATGTGATTGATAAATGTACCTTTATTAATATAAACACACCCAGTATAACTACCTGTAATATATATATATTTGGGTATTCCTTTTAAGAACTCTTACCCCTGAAGGTTTAAATGTAGATTTTCGACTTGTTTAAATTTTTTATAATTTCTTAAATCGTTTTAAATAACTGTTCATAATTTTTTTTAAATGGGTTTTCAAAAAAATGTTTTACAAAAATGCTTTATGTTTATAAAAAAATCTTTTAAATCATATTTCTATATAATTTTTACATATTTACATTTACTTATTCTGAATAACCAGAAGTTTCCACTTTATACTTAAACTGTTATATTTATCTGATCACCCTCCCCAATAAAGACTATGCAAACTCTATTTATATTACCTTGTATAAAAGAAAAATCTACAAACCTATTACCTTTCTTTGCTCTATCTAAAAGTGAGATATTTTCACATTCTGTTAACCTATGTATATCTCCCTACAATCCTTAATGCAGCATATACTTCTTGCATGTCTTAGAATATATATCCTATTAGTTTAATATGTAATCTATATGTTTTTACTTTTACCTCCTGTAAACCGTGAGAAGGTTTACCTCTCCCCCTTCTCCCCAGGCCCCGGTACCCATAGGTACCCTCCCCTTTTATCCCCCTAGTCACCACCCACTTGCCAACCCATCCCCAGACGTCATCAAGATGCACGTCACTATTTCGTCATTAGGATGCGCCCACAAACGTCATTAGGTCGCGGCCGCCGAGAAACAGGTCGCATCCAATGTTTTGCCCACATGTACGCCCCTCGTCGAAAGGACGTGGATGTACTAACTACAAACCCCAGAATTCTTAGTGATAGACCACGCGGCGTGGCCACGTGATCTTTACATGTTAAATATCACCACATTTGTATCTGTAAATAAGCTTTGTTTTTACACCATATTGTAATATTACACTTGTACATGTATTTACGTGTATTTAAAGACTTATGCATGTGATTTGTATCTATTTTGTATGTTCTAAGAACGTATTTATGACGTCATTTTGGCGCCCTTTTTAAAGATGTACATTCCCTATTTATACCTGTATCTGCCAGGTTGAACTTCCTTATCTCCACTTGAAAAAGCCTGAGGGTGAAACGTGTTGGGGTTTTTAATATAACAGTATATATTTTTAATAAAGGTATTTTGGCCACTTTCTATTTGTGAGTAAGCCATTTTACTTTTTTATATTATTTTTATTTTATTATCAGACTTCTTTTATTGCTTTTATCACCATCCTTGCTGTTATCACCATCTCTGGATCTATCCACCTTATCTACCTCTTCATTTTGGACTTTTAGCTATTGTGCTTATATTTTCTATTTCTCCAGTTTGTCATAAGTGATAGTAGTATACTACCTTTATATTTTAGTGTATTGGAACGTCATTCCAAGTGTATTTTAAAATTAATATATAACTATATAATATTAAAATACACTTTTAAGAATGGTGTATGTGTGTTTATGTGCATGTAAAAGTATATATATTTGATAAAGTACTTCTTTATAAACTTCTTTATAAGTACTTTCTACTTTATAAACTTTTATTTAACTTTTATTTAACTCTGTAAAACTTTTTTTCAGGCACTAGGGGGACTGCCTGAGAGGTCAGGCAGGCCCCCTGCAGGCACTGCACAAGCCAGCTATTCCGGCCATGTGATCGCGAGGATTGAGCAGTGGGGGTCTGTCTGAGCTCCCAGGCAGATCCAAGGATCGTGATCGCCTGCAGGGGATCGCCAGTGATCAGGTAAGTGCTGATTTGCAAAATGACGTACCAGGTACGTCCGCAGTCACTAACGGACGTTTTTTGTCGGACGTACCTGCTATGTCACCGGTCAGGAGTCACACTCCAGTCTCCCACACACGTTAGGTGCACTGTGTAGGTTAGGTTATAGTTAGAGTGGGTGGGTTTATATTATTAAAGGAACACTCCAGGCTCCCACACACGTTAGGTGCACTGTGTAGGTTAGGTTACAGTTAGTTATACTGGTGGGTTTATATTATTAAAGGGACACTCCAGGCTCCCACACACATTAGGTGCACTGTGTAGGTTAGGTTACAGTTAGTTACACTGGTGGGTTTATATTATTAAAGGACACTCCAGGCTCTCACACATGTTAGGTGCACTGTGTAGGTTAGGTTACAGTTAGTTATAGTGGGTGGGTTTATCTTATTAAAGGGACACTCCAGGCTCCTACACACTTTAGGTGCACTGTGTAGGTTAGGTTACAGTTAGTTACACTGGTGGCTTTATATTATTAAAGGGACACTCCAGGCTCCCACATACATTAGGTGCACTGTGTAGGTTAGGTTACAGTTAGTTATATTGGGTGGGTTTATATTATTAAAGGGACACTCCAGGCTCCCACACACGTTAGGTGCACTGTGTAGGTTAGGTTACAGTTAGTTATACTGGGTGGGTTTATATTATTAAAGGGACACTCCAGGCCCCCACACACGTTAGATGCACTGTGTAGGTTAGGTTACAGTTAGTTATACTGGGTGGGTTTATATTATTAAAGGGACACTCCAGGCTCCTACACAGGTTAGATGCACTGTGTAGGTAATGTTACAGTTAGTTATACTGGGTGGGTTTATATTATTAAAAGGACACTCCAGGCTCCCACACACTTTAGGTGCACTGTGTAGGTTAGGTTACAGTTAGTTACACTGGTGGCTTTATATTATTAAAGGGACACTCCAGGCTCCCACACACGTTAGATGCACTGTGTAGGTAATGTTACAGTTAGTTATACTGGGTGGGTTTATATTATTAAAAGGACACTCCAGGCTCCCACACACTTTAGGTGCACTGTGTAGGTTAGGTTACAGTTAGTTACACTGGTGGCTTTATATTATTAAAGGGACACTCCAGGCTCCCACACACGTTAGGTGCACTGTGTAGGTCAGGTTACAGTTAGTTATACTGGTTGGGTTTATATTATTAAAGGGACACTCCAGGCTCCCACACACGTTAGATGCACTGTGTAGGTTAGGTTACAGTTATATTGGGTGGGTTTATATTATTAAAGGGACACTCCAGGCTCCCACACACGTTAGGTGCACTGTGTAGGTTAGGTTACAGTTAGTTATACTGGGTGGGTTTATATTATTAAAGGGACACTCCAGGCTCCCACACACATTAGATGCACTGTGTAGGTAATGGTACAGTTAGTTATACTGGGTGGGTTTATATTATTAAAGGGACACTCCGAGCTCTCCCACACGTTAGGTGCACTGTGTAGGTTATGTTACAGTTAGTTATACTGGGTGGGTTTATATTATTAAAGGGACACTCCAGGCTCCCACACACTTTAGATGCACTTTGTAGGTTAGGTTACAGTTAGTTATACTGGGTGGGTTTATATTATTAAAGGACACTCCAGGCTCCCATACACATTAGATGCACTTTGTAGGTAATGGTACAGTTAATTATACTGGGTGGGTTTATGTTATTAAAGGGACACTCCAGGCTCCCACACACATTAGGTGCACTGTGTAGGTTATGTTACAGTTAGTTATACTGGGTGGGTTTATATTATTAAAGGGACACTCCAGGCTCCCACACACTTTAGATGCACTTTGTAGGTTAGGTTACAGTTAGTTATACTGGGTGGGTTTATATTATTAAAGGGACACTCCAGGCTCCCACACATGTTAGGTGCACTGTGTAGGTTAGGTTACAGTTAGTTATACTGGGTGGGTTTATAGTATTAAAGGAACACTCCAGGCTCCCACACACGTTAGATGCACTGTGTAGGTTAGGTTACAGTTAGTTATACTGGGTGGGTTTATATTATTAAAGGGACACTCCAGGCTCCCACACACGTTAGATGCACTGTGTGGGTTAGGTTACAGTTAGTTATACTGGGTGGGTTTATATTATTAAAGGGACACTCCAGGCTCCCACACACGTTAGATGCACTGTGTAGGTTAGGTTACAGTTAGTTATACTAGGTGGGTTTATATTATTAAAGGGACACTCCAGGCTCCCACACACGTTAGATGCACTGTGTAGGTTAGGTTACAGTCTGTTATACTGGGTGGGTTTATATTATTAAAGGGACACTCCAGCCTCCCACACACATTAGATGCACTGTGTAGGTTAGGTTACAGTTAGTTATACTGGGTGGGTTTATATTATTAAAGGGGCACTCTAGGCTCCCATACACGTTAGGTGCACTGTGTAGGTTAGGTTACAGTTAGTTATACTGGGTGGGTTTATATTATTAAAGGGGCACTCTAGGCTCCCACACACGTTAGGTATATATTTTTATTTATTTTGTGATACATAATATCACAAAAGTGACATAAGCCACAAATACTGCCCTCAATAGACTATTCACCCAAGTTCCATATAGGAAAGGAGCCTCATCAAAAACTGTCCCTTAAGCTAAAAAAAAAGGATCCAGGCTGAGCAAGGACCAAAATGAGTTAATGTATCCTTAGGGGTCTGTCACCTAAATACAGCTCCTATACATAAAACTCCATCACCAAAATAAAGTAAAGTAATAAAGATGCCGGCCCATGGTGATATTAAAAGAAACAACAAGGAACCCAACACGTGTTTCAGAGCTTAGAATGCACTAGAAAAAGTGCAGAGACGAACTACAACATTTATAAAAGGAATGGAGCATTTTAGTTATGAAG